ACACACACACACACACACACACACACACACACACACACACTGTTTTACCGCTCTGCTCCTCCCAGGTATAAATTATAAAGTGATCCAATGCCCTCCCTCAGAATACATAGATATAAACTAAAGGTTTCATAACTCTGAGCAAACCCTTTCCAAAAATGTGTTTTATCAGTTCTTTCCCTTGACCACCTTTTGAGATGTGTCACATAAGAATGAATAAGCTATACTGTATTTTTTTTAAAGCAAGTCAAGTTAACAACAAGCCAATTTTCCCTGTTTTTCATTTGACCCGTTAAATCCTATTGCTTAATTATTATTATTATTATTATTATTATTATTATTATTTTGTCATGACAATGGATCTTCCTCACTTTGTTCTCAGGAGGTCAGTTCGGAAACGCTATTATTTTCCCTATCGGAGGTTTCCTGTGTGCCTATGGCCCGGATGGAGGCTGGCCTGCTGTCTTCTACGTCATTGGTCAGTTCGTCACTACTTGAACCTCCGCCATGTTGCACTTTAGACATTCACGTTATTTATGACCACTTTTTCATTTTTTTCCCTCTTATTCGTTAAAGGTTCAATATGGAATTTAATATTCACATTCTGATCTGTTATACCAGTATAAGAAAACACCTCTCGTGTCGCAGTTTTGGCAGCTGTTTGTCGTTTGATTTTTTGTTGTGTTTACATACAAGCCAATACCTTAGCAGCATGTTTAAGGTAGTTATTCGAGCATGTAAAAACAGTATACACAATTAATAAAGATGTCAGAAAGTAAAGTAGTGTTTTTTGTGCCTCCATTATAGTTTATAATATATGTAGTTTTCAAAAGCATAGTATGATTGAATGTTTTATCAAAGGTGTAAGGCCTGTGTTATCCAGGGGAGATTGTTATGTATTACTTATTATAACCATGTGTTCTAATTGGCAGTCCTGGCTGTGTCACTCAAAGATCTTCAGGCAAGATAAGCTTCCAAATTAAATTGTATTAATATGTTATTGACACCAGTGACAGCCGTGGTGAAGCAGTACACTATGTTTTGCCAAAATATATGAGTATGATAATGACAAACGGCGTGATTGAACCGACCTCGATCCCTGAAATTAGCTCCCTCCCCCTCCCCTTCGCTAAATCCTCTCTCTCTCTCTTTCTCTCTCTCTCTCTCTCTCT